ATAATTTAGTAATTACCTTTGAATTATCACGAAACTTTTTCGGAGCTCATTTCACACCGACTTATGAGATCTGCGAGGTCATCTCATATTACGTTCGTGAAGTGTCCTTTTATATCTTTTATATCATTGTCTATTTATATGTAATTTTAAGTAGTAGAGACATTAATTTATTACTATTAGAAAAAAACGTATTTAAGTTATAAAAGAAAACCAATACCGATTTGGAAAATTCTATTACAATACAAAGGGAATCTTTTCTTCAAAAAAAAAAATATATATAACTTAAATGAGTTATAATCGTAAACATTTTATTTTGTAGCTTTAATGGTATGTTCTTAAAATACTCAAAATTTCCGATCCGATGTCGAGCAAAAGTAGGTGTTATAAATAATTGAATAAAATATATAATATAGGCATATTATGCTGTCGCGGACTTTTAAAGCGGATCAATTTCGTAATACATGTAAGGAAAGCTTTCAACAACTAAAATACTTTCCCGTTCTTGCAACATTTTTCATTTCTGCTCCATTCCTGTTAGTCATAGAATGCTGTGATATAGTAATATAGCCTTCCTCGATAAATGGACTCATCAACACAAAAACAATAATTCAATCCGTACCAGTACTTCCTGAAAATAGCGAGTTCAAACAAACAAACAAATTGTTCAGCTCTATTATTAATAGTATATGTAAATATAGATGTGTTGTCGCGGGACAAATAAAAGAATAATAACGCGAATTCTATTTGATTCAAATATTAGGGGTTAGATAGACAATTTAATTTGTTGTAGGTTAGACAATAAAATTATTGTAATAGGTTCTTTCAATTGACATGAATCTTCATGGTTTGAGGTTTTCGAAAGAAACTTTTTTTCACATGGTTTCTATGATGTTCTTCTTTTAAAAAATGTGAAACATTTGAATATCGACTTTCAATTGTTTTTGTTATTCAACTTAGACAAGAAAGATGGATACTGCGAAAATTCGAGTGATTTTTGGATTCGAGTTCCGACGCGGAAGTAACGCGGCAGAAACAGCCCGCAATATTAATGAACGCACTGTGCGATTTTGGTTTATACGCTTTCATGATGGAAACTTCGACTTGAAGAACGAGCCACGAGGAAGACCGCCCACACAGGTGAGTAACGATGAATTAAGAGAGATGGTGGAAGCTGATCCTAGTCAAACTATCCAGGAATTAGCGGCATGGTTTAACGTTACCTTATCCAGAATATTGACTCATTTGCGTCAAATCAATAAAATAAAAAATACGAAAAATGGGTGCCTCATTATTTGACTGATTTGTAGAAAGAAACACGTGTTGAAACTTGTGTTGCTTTGTTGAATCGGTACAGAAATGAAAGAATATTGGATCGAATTATGACATGTGATGAAAACTGGATTCTTTTTGATAACCGCAAAGAGAAATGCAATGGCTGACCCCAGGTTAAACGCCACAACAGTGTCCTAAAGTAAAGTTTACCAATAAAAAGGTAATGGAAACTGTGTGGTGGTCTCAGTATGGTGTTATTCCAAGTTTTTTCCAATCTGGTCAAGCAATAACGGCAGATGTCTATTGTGCCGAACTCCGAACAATGTTGGCAAAACTAGCAGTAAAACAGCCCCGACACATGAATCGATCTTCACCATTATTGCTCCATGACAACGCGAGACCTCATACAGCACGAGAAACCGTTTGAACCTTCAGGAACTGCAGTTAGAAACTATTCGTCATTCTCCGTATTCGCCAGATCTTACTCCAACGGAGTACTATTTTTTTGCTATTTTGATTTTTAATACAAATCGGCAATTTCATATTTTAACCCCTATTACTTAAACTCATAACCTACATTTTTCGTTTTTCAAAAAGTCTTTCAATCTCATCATCTTTCTTTCTCTCTCGTACACTTGTTAATCTAGTTTCGGATATAATTCCATAGCAAATCTATCATACTTTACAATACATATCATCTCACATACAGCTACCATATATGATACGGTTCCCCATACAAACAGGGAGGCTGTTTACTGATTTAATGCTTAAATATTTTTTGAATAAATTTACCTTCAAAATAAAATAATTTCGACTTAAAAAGGGATAAGTATACATTAGTTTATAAACTAATATGACAAATTAAACAAAAGATTCTAAAACATGACAATAGTGATGTTACACCATTTATGATTTGCATTATATTACAAAAGTGCTGACAGGCAAATCAGCAACACTCCATTTGCTCTCACAATCACGGAAGAACCCGGTTTCCACGACCCATTAGACAGAACCCCAATTTGAAGAGACTTTTACTTCAAAACGAAAGCATCTAAACTGGAATCGCTCGTATCATGTCACTCGTTGAAGGAAAAGAACATAAAACCTCCATAAATTGATACTAAAACCCCTATGATTGATATTTGATTTCGTTTATAAATAGATTTTTCATTCTTTTGTTAAGCTGCAGTTCCTGATACATAAATATGTTTTTATATCGAATTTATTTATAAGAACACTATAAAATCTACTCTATTAAATGTTATTTTAACAATTCTAAAAACGAAATATTATGTAAATTTGGTATCTAAGATCATTCATATAATAACTACATCTGTATATGTTAAAAGTTCAAATTAGGAATTTAAATTTAAAATTATTTTTGTCTTAATAAATGTTTCAACAAAGTTTCTAACCCATTAATATTGTTACATTAAAATTCATTAAAACTAAATCTGTATGTAAAATATTAGTTTTAGCCGAGAAAAAAAACAGCTAAAGAAAGCTAATTAAATAAACTACTTAGGTATGTTTGATTATTGAAGACATTTCACAAGGTATTCGTATTTTCGACAGGTTACATAATGAATCGTGTCACTGTTTGCCTGTAAAAATGAAAGAAATACGTTTATTTTTTCATGGGTCGAGGGCTCCTGAGTCGGTTATATACCCACCCGTAATGAACGAGATATGAATGCCTACTTAAGAGTCAAAAAGATAGAAAAGAGTCTCATAAAGATTGAAATCATGTCTGAAATTTTTTATTTCACTTTTGTTTACATTATTCTTTATAATCCTTTTCATTTTAAATGAATGATGAATACCGTTTTAAGAAATTTCGTCTGAATAGAATAGCAGCGGTGAATTATATTAATATTTTCTTTTAATATATAAATTCAAACGTAAATTTAATGATGTCTATTTAAATACTTTAAGAATTATTATTATTAATAGAGCTTACCACTCCTCATAGGCATTTGTCAAAAAAATATCATAACATTAGAATTTTAATATTAAATACAGATAAATCAAAACCTTTTAAATATTATATCAAAGAGAAAATATATCTGTTTGAGTCGAATAATATTTGTATAAATTTTGCTTAACGTACCTCTGCGACGTTATGGTAAAAAAAAAATCATAGCGACAAAATGAAGCGCGGTTGGATCGGGGGCGTAGTTTAGAGAAAATGATACAAACAAACAAAAGAACGGGGAAAATATTGAACAAAGATTTCCTCCGGGGATTGAAGTCTCCTCCACTAAAATTGGATGGTAAACTGAAGACACAATGGGTTTTATTCTTTTTTACCTTCGCTGCGGACGCACGTAAAAAATCCTTTTTCATCGCATGACCATCAATCAAGATTTATTTGTGTAATTTGCTTTTGAAAGCGTAAAGCATATTCTGTTTTCATATTTTACCTGCACGTTTTATGCCGTTATAGAAAATTGCCTGGTGGAATTTTCTTTGAAAGGACTAAGGTATATTTACTCTGTTACCGCCTATTGTGTTTCTTAAAAGCTTTTTTAATATTAATATGAAATTTGATTTAGTTTATTATTATTCTTCTTTTAAAATCAGAATCTTTAAAACACCAGTCGAACCACAACAATTGTTCTTAGCGTGTACCTAAGACAATAATAAAAATGATAATAATAATTTATTTTTCTCCACGAACTTTTTCACTTAAACAATGTGCTTAGTATGTGTTATATGTGTGTTATATCATAAACACAGTTTGAAGGTTAAGTTAAAAAGGAAGGCTAGTTGACTACTATTTTATTTTACAAATTATACTCCATTAGTATCTGAAAAATAATGTAGAAATAACAGTATCTCACGATTAATAGTTTCAGATATATAGTGCTATGTTTGTGGAACTACTGCTAGTCGCCTAAAAACGATCCCTACAAATTCAAGCTACGAAGTGACGTCATATCTTGCTATAGTAGCGAAGAACGTGTGGGTGTCGGGGCAATCTTTGTTATTTGTGCGTTTATGTTTATAGTTATCATAACGAAAGTTGTTGCATTTTATGTAATTAATTTAATGCCATATGTGTTTTAGCAAAATTTTGTAATATAACTTACTTAATTTAAAAAAAAATCTAAGCTTAATATTTTCCCAATTAATATAATAATAAAAATTATAATAAATTAATATAAATTAAAATGGTTCATATTTTATGAACGATATAACATAAAACTGTATTTTCACCCTGTAGGATACAACCATGTGGTTTGGGTATGTGTATGTATATCAGGTACCTCGTCAAAATTCCGATCTCTAATTTTAAGATAACGAGACTATTTAATAATTTATCTAACGACTTGGTATGGTAAAACTTTTTATAAAGAGAATTATAAAAGCAATATCTTCTAAATAGAAAGTTTAAAAATATTTTAAAACTGGTTATTTCTTACCTAAATATGGATGAAATTACTGGACAGTTTTTGAAAATTCTTTCACATAAAGGTAGCTACATCCCAAGGGGGGATATAGTCTATAATTTACACACACGAAGTTTATTTTCAAACATCTTTTTAAGATAAATACTTATTATGGTGCTATAGTGAAAATCTATTTAAAATTTTGTTTTTGGTTACAACTCTATGGTCGAAAAAATTTCCATTGTCAATTAGCAACACCATTCAATTGACACTTTATTTTGATTTATTTATTTCTGATTATTTCTAATTATGTTTTTATTAAATTAATACTTTATTATGGCTCAAGATTCAAAAAAGGTTTCACCGGTGATCCATGGAAAAGTGTCGTCATCTACTATGGAAAAAGGGAAAGTTACGTACTGTACAGACTTAGAAAAATCAGTTATAATGAGCAACTTCGAAAGACGCGGCTGGACCCAAGTAGGACCTGAGGACGAATGGAACTTTTACTGGTCCTTCACGACAAACTGCCGAAATATCTTTAGCATCGAGAGCGGTTATAGAATGAACGATAATCAGATGATAAATCACTTTCCGAACCACTACGAGCTGTCCCGTAAAGATTTATTAGTGAAAAACATCAAGAGATATAGGAAAGAACTGGAAAAGGAGGGCAATCCATTGGCAGAAAAAGTTGAGGTATCTCTACCAAACTGTCAAGTTGTTACACGTTACTTACATTTGGATTTTATTCCGGTGACCTATGTTTTGCCTGCCGATTATAACATGTTCGTTGAGGAATATAGAAAATCGCCACAGAGCACTTGGATAATGAAGCCCTGTGGAAAATCTCAAGGTGCTGGAATTTTCCTTATAAATAAACTTTCGAAATTGAAAAAGTGGTCGCGCGAGGCAAAAACTCCGTTGCACCCCCAATTGAGCAGTAAAGAGAGTTATGTGATATCACGCTACATCGACAACCCTCTTTTGATAGGCGGTAAAAAATTTGATCTACGCTTGTACGTTCTGGTTACGTCGTTTAGGCCTTTGAAAGCATATTTATTCCAACATGGATTTTGTAGATTTTGTACAGTGAAATACGATACAAGTGTTACCGAATTGGATAACATGTATGTACATTTAACTAATGTTAGCGTACAGAAACACGGAGGAGACTACAATAGTTTACACGGTGGGAAAATGAGCATTCAGAACTTCAGATTGTATTTAGAGGGTACACGTGGTCGTTCTGTTACAGAAAAACTATTTGCAGAGATGCAATGGCTCATTGTTCATTCATTGAAAGCAGTAGCTCCCGTGATGGCTAACGATAGACATTGTTTTGAGTGTTATGGCTATGATATAATAATTGATAATACTTTGAAACCTTGGTTGGTAGAGGTTAATGCTTCACCGTCCTTGATATCCACTACGCATAATGACAGAATATTGAAGTATAAATTGATTGACAATATTGTTTCGGTAGTTGTGCCTCCGGATGGTATACCTGATGCTAGGTGGAATAAGATACCGTCTACCGAGGCACTGGGCGATTTTGACTTGCTTATTGACGAAGAATTAATGGAAAGAGAAGATGTTAATTCCCGTTATAATAAATATCACCGTTTTAGACAATGATAATGTAATTTTGTATTTTAATATTATTTTGTATGTGATTTTGTTAGATTTTTTTTAATTAAAATCAACTTAAATTATTAAAAAATGATACATTTTTTATCACTACATATTATAAAACAAAGTCCCCACCGCTTCTGTCTATCTGTTCGCGGTAAATTTGAAAAGTACTGGACGGATTTTCATGCGATTCAACAATAGATAGAGCAATTCTCGAGGACGGTTTTAGTGTATAATAAGTTTAGGTTTTGTACAAACTGACGATATTACATCGATATTAGTTCAGTATGTCGGAAAAAATAACGCCGATCGGAAGCTTTCCTTGAAAACGCCGCCAAAAAGTTTTGATTGATAACGAAACATTGTATTATGGAATTGTACCTCTTTAATAGATCTACAAAAAAATCCGTGGTAGTATATGTCTATATTCCAAGGATAATCCATATTAACGTATACTTCAAACAGCAAAATGATGGATTATTTACGAACCTATTTTTATCAATACAGTATCAATACTTATTCAAATAAATAAGTTAGATACGTTTTGCATGTAATGTAGATTAAAATAGCCTTTTACACTATATCAAATAAAATTAATAACTAATGAGTTATCGAAAAATAAAAAAATGTCCGGGTGAGATATTAAATATCGATGAATAAAAATGAATCGTCGAAACGTAAGTACATATGTACGCACATAACTTCCGAATTACAGTTCCGACTGTACAAAATTGGATTATTCTATTTTTTATATGTTCCAAGATTCATGACACGGTTTGTACCTATATAAGATTTCTTTAAAACGGGTATAAGGCGGTACGAAGTTCGCCGGGTCAGCTAGTTATTAATAAAATAGACGCGTAAGTCGATTCCCTATTGGGGATAGGTAATACTTATTTAAACATTTAACATATAACTAGCTGTGTTCCTGCGGTCTATATAGCCTATAGCACTTGCGTCATGGTATAGCTGCTCGTAGGTATAAGAACTTTCATGATCAGTTTGGTATTTCCGAAGATTCCCTCTACAAACAAACAAAGTTAGAAATTTTACATCTTTCAGTATAGAGTTAACTTTGGGTTAAGCACCTATTAATTCATTTTTACCATTTTTAGCTTTTCTGATACACTCAATTATACTCGTATTAATATAAAGTTTTTTCAGTGAGAACATTTACGACTTGTACTTTTACACACTAACTCACATGTCTTTTGTAGCCAATAGTCATGTTTGTCAAGACGCTAATTGAGTTTAATAACAATTTCGCTCTCATTGGTCGAAAATTTTTATTTTGTCAAAAAAGGTAATCAGAGTAGTAAAAAAACGTAATTTATTTTATTTACCAGAAACACTATTTTCCCTTTGAAGAATTTCCATATCAGCTTTATACATGATATCTTCATCTATAAGCACCTGAAAATCTCCCAATGCTTCTTTAGAAGGAGCTTTGTTCCAACGGATATCTGGAATACCATCTGGGGGTAAAACTACTGATAATAAATTATCAACCAATTTATTTTTCATTATTCTGTCTTTCGCTGTCGTAGCTGTCATCGAAGGAGATGCATTCACTTCGATAAGCCACGGCTTTAGATTGTCATCAATAATTATATCATAGCCGTAACATTCGAAACAATGTCGATCATTAGCTATAACTTGAGCACCCGCCTTCAAAGAATGAACGATTAACCATTGTATTTCTTCGAAAAGCTGCTGTGTTACTACTCCACCCCGCGTCCCTTCAAGGTAAAGCTTTAAATTATTAATATCCAACTTCCCACCGTGTTGGCTGTTGTAATCCCCACCGTGTTTTTGTACGCTTACATTTGTCAAGTGAACATACATATTGTCAAGCTCAGTGACGCTCGTGTCGTATTTCATAGTGCAAAACCTACAAAATCCGTTTCGGAACATATAAGCTTTTAAAGGTCGAAAAGATGTAACGAGGACGTAAATCCTCAAATCAAATTTTTTCCCTCCGATCAAAAGGGGATTATCTATATAGCGTGATATAACGTACGTATCTCTACTACTGAGTTGATGTTGAAGATATTTTTTTGATTCACGAGACCATTTTTTAAGTTTGGACAGCTTGTTTATAAGAAAAATGCCGGCGCCTTGGGATTTTCCGCAAGGTTTCAAGATCCAAGTGCTCTGTGGAAATCTTCGGAATTCTTCAACAAACATGTTGTAATCTGAAGGTAATACGTAGGTTACCGGAATGAAATTGAGGTATAAGTACTGATTCACAGTTTGTCCATTTGGTAATTTGATTTCAGCTTTCTTCGCTAGTGGATTTCCTTCCTTTTCCAATTCTTTTCGATATCGCTTAATGTTTCTCACTAGTAAATCTTTACGTACCAGTTCATAGTGATTTGGAAAATGGTTAATTAATTGATTCTCGTTGAGACGGCTTCCGTTGTCCAAGTTGAATATATTGCGACAGTTGGTTGTGTTCGACCAATATATGTTCCAATCGTCATTCGGAGTCACTTGTTTCCAGCCCCGTCTCACAAAGTTATTTATCACAATTGAGTTATCGAAGTCGGTGCAGAATTTGATATGTCTGTTATCCGACCGCGCGTGCTGAATACGAGTGTTCTTTATAGATTTTCTACTATAGTAAGTTGCCATTACTGTGGAATAATTTTCTTCGTGAAATAGTACTAAAATCTTACTAGAGAATACTATTTTGCACTTTTCTCTTTTTCATGGCCAACTCAAATTGACATTTTAGCAAGTTATTGCAAGTGTTGCAAGTTATTTCGGTCAAAGAGCATATATTACGTAATGTTTATATGCTCTTTGAATGTAACCTAGGAATAAGTATTTTACGACCTAATTGGGTAAGTGTGACTGCGCGATACTCAAAGGGTTACACTTGCACAAGCAATAGTGTGTTTGATGATTATTGGTCTAATATATAATATTTAACATAAAATATAAATGAGGCGAAGAAATTGCTCGCACTTCTCATCGGTTAATTTATAATATTAATGTTATCTTTACTGTCTTTTAAATGTCAAATACTACTATTATAATTTTAAATTGATAACTTTTCTTAAGAAACATTTCAAAAATATATCTGCGATGAAGATCAATAAAGTTACGTGTTACAAAAAAATACAGTTATTAGAATCAGCAATATTTACAATCATGGTTCAACCGATTAAATATTTATTATACACAAAGCCAAAGGAATATATATTTCTTTACAAAATATGCTTATGATGAATTCTTATTGCGAATGACACTTATTCAACGAATGGAGTTATCACAAGTTAAATTATGAAACGCTATTTAAAAATTAAGGAGATTTAGACTCGTAAATTATTCACATGCAGAAGAACAATTGTATTTTTGGGAAGGTTTTCTGTGTTAGTCTTATCGGGCCGTTAAGCCAAGCTTATGGTGAATAATTTAAACCAATTCAGATGGAAGGTACGTACGACATATAATATTTATGGTTTCTTTCTTGTTTGCCCATAATGAATAAATAAAAGACCTATTCTATCCCGTGTTTCTTTGACTAAGGCGTATCTTTCGTTGAAAATTTAAGCTGATGTGTTAACTCCAGAACGGTCGCAGATCCTGATTCCATAATTCCAATCATGTTAGATTTCCTATAAAAATAATTCATTTGCAATAAAAATATTTGAATTGTTTTTCAAGGTAAATTCTAGTCTTTTTCTACATTTAAGCGAACAATATACACTGATGAACATCAATTTCAGCCAGGTTCAAGCACCACACTAAGCAGTAGATGCAGTACACTAGTAGTTTTGGAGGTCTTCGAATATAAAAATCCCGTTTATACTACTATATAAAGTGCGTAAATAATAGCCTACGTCTCCTGTGTATGTAACTTAAGCTCTCCTATCGGATAGTCTTCGCCTATGGGTGAAGATTTTTAATATTGGATTGGACTTCACCAATGCGTTGTGATTATAATTCCCTATTATTAGTTTTTCTTTCAAATGAGGTTTTTATATAAATTAAACTTATTAATAAACATTTTTAGAAACATTGAAATTTGACGGAAAATCGAGTGTACGCAAATGCACTCGTATCTGTAAATCCAAGATCATTGGAATAGAGTCGACAATGCTTGTCTCTCGCTTGAAACAAGATAAACCACTAATAGTTCGACTTCGCTTTTAATAATAAGGCACCCAATTAGATAAATTTTTGTAACTCTTGCCCCATGTCTTCTCTCTGGTTTGTAGTAATTAGATCGGTGAATATTATAGACGGTTAAACAATAAATTCATGGAAAACTTTATATCGTTATCACAGGCTTTTTTTTAGGTATCGATAAATTCCATCAGGTCATAAAACATTGGGGATATAACGGATCGAGCTTTAGAAAATATACTTACCTACCGAAATTTTAAGGCACCCATTCGATTACCGGTGTTTATGAAAGTTGCTTGGGATCTACTTACACCACCACGGAATGAGTTTAAAGCATCACTCCAACGAAATTGTGCAAGTCATTATAAACTTTATATTAGCATATAAATGCTGATGCGTCTTTCGGGAACTCGTCGCGTATTCTTGATGTGTGAGTTTTTCTTGGCTTATATTTAGTTCGTATGTTTTGTAATTCATAAAAATAATACATTTACAAAAGTTTTAAGTTAACACAAAATATAATAGTTGCACTTGTTTTGTGAAATTTTAAATTCGTATTTATTGAATATAAAATCGTACACGTTAAATCTGAATATTTTTACAAACACTCAGTTGACATGTATGCATGTGATGAAATCGCTTGCAAAAAATATTGCTGTAAAAATGTCTCACTAATTGCCAGCGTGATTTGATTCCGCGCTTGAATAGCGTTACATGAAAAGCTTGCTCTCTCGTTAAGATCCATAATTATGAACGGGAACGAAGTTTAAAAGAGGGAACTGAATATTCCAATGGATTATCTTTGTTTTTTTTTATAGTAATGATCCGTTCAGGTGGTTTAATTGGATCTTTTTTAATAACTAGAAAATATTTATACACATTTTTTTAAATTGTATTTATAAAACGCAATTCAGAATAAAAATCGTTGTATTAAAATTGAATTTGTGTATCGTAAACGATACAAATAGAAAATTTATAAAGATGTATGTTTTATTGGATTTCATATTTCACTAAACATATTTTTTACTTAGGTACTTTCAAAAGTTTTAACAACATACATTTTAACAATTTTGGTATCTCTTTCAGAATAATAGAAGTTTATAGAAGTTTTTCTAAATAATAGATCATAATAAATAATAGTAGTTTCGTAAATATCTATGATTGGAAAAATATTTCGTGTTACTTTATTTCATAGAATATTTTATATTAAATTTTTCAATTTATTCCCAAAAAGTAGCGCTTATGATTAAAATATATTTTGTATTATATAGGCACCGATTTATGCCGTGTATGTAGGTACTTTTTATAAAGCCTAACACAATGAGTTTTAATAATTATTTTGTTCTATAATTTTATTTTTTTAATTAATGTATAATTATTATAAATATATATATACGGTCTGTGATACGGAAGTTAAGCAACTTTCGCAAGGAACAGTCATAGGATGGGTGACCAAAATTTTATCTCGAGCTTAACATGCCATCATGTTAAGCTCCTGGAAGACCCATCAACCAGTACTGGGCACTTGTGGTGGGTCATGGCCCGTGCTCGCTATTTTCTTTGATTCAGTTTTTTCATATGAAAGTATTAATAAGATTATTATAAATTACTTGGCATTTTAAAAACATATATTACCTATCTTACTTGGATCAATATAATACAAATTTATACGTGAACACCGATAATTCCAGTTCACAATAACGCGCTTGTAAAATATTCATAATAATATGCAATGAAAATTTTAAATATGGTAACAATCTTGATTCAACCAGTTTCTCGTTGTATTAAAATGAATATTGAGATTTATTTAATAAATTCTAACAGTTTATTTTAAAATTGCCTCCACATACGTTTTCTCTTATAATAACTTCTGTATATTATTATCTTATTTAGTTTTAGGTTAGGCTCTAGGTTTGAGTTGTATTTATTATCTGATAATGTAGTTTTAATTCTGAATACTTCTGTATTGAATAATAAATACATTGTAATTAATTCAAAGAATAATAACAAGTTTTTGATTTTTTTTTTGTATTCGGTATTGTTAAGAAATTACATGAACTTTCGTCTCGTACTTACTAAAGGACTTTATTTAAGTAGCTTTATAATCGAATTCAATGTAGAATGTACACTGAATTCGATTATTAAATTATTTATTTTTTTAATATTACAGAAATACTATTTAAATTATCTTTTAATTTCAAATTCAATATCATTTATTCAACCTAGGTGCACACGTGGAGTACTCGTGACAGTCAAAACTCTATGCCACCGGTTCGCAAAACCACCAAGGTTTAGATTACGCAAAAAAAAGAAACAATTACAACTTTCTATGTTACCGACGTCTATTAAACCTTTTTTTTTTTTTCTAGTCGTTAATTTTGTTACTCAAACTCTCTTCATCACCTCCATCTCCGAACAAAATACTTAATGAGTGTTCTGGCATTTTATTTTTCTTAAGAAAGACTTTTAATACCTTCATCACAAAAGTTAAATGGCCGCCATGAAGAGTTGAATTTATTCCCGGAACTTTTAACGATTCTCATTTTTGTACACGCTTTAGCGGAGCATACCTTAGCATATTTCTTGAAAGCCTCCCATTCATCGTTGAAAAAATGAAAAACATCTAGCTAACATAAGGCTTAGCGTGAATCTGGGACACGAGGGAGTTATTCAAAAATTTAATGTCTCCTTTCAATCTCTCGTAAAGCTTTAGTCGTAAAGCGGAAAATTTACGGCCAAAGTTGAACTGGTTGTGAATTATTATTAACAGTTACCGGAATATTCCGTAACCCTGAAAGAATATAATATTTTAGTAGCTTGGTCATGGACGTCCTCACGAAAAGTTTTGGTATAAAAACACTTTACTTATACATGATTTTATTTGAAAACGAAAAAGGGTCAATGCAGCGACTATTTTTCTAGTATGATGGAGAGGACATACGGAAACTGAATTGTTAATGATATTAAGGCTATAGAAGCCTGATAGAAAAATCTGTCTGTCGACAAATATAAATAGCCAGATCTAACGCATCCACGACCTAATTATCTAATTTTAAAATCTATCACTGCAATTGAAATTTCATCTCACATTTTTGATCGCAGGTGTTGGAATTGCCATCGGTGGTGCGTTGTCTGGTTCGTCTCTTATTAGATATTGGTACCTCTAATTCATCTATTCTGTCTAATATCCAACCCTGAATAAATGATGTGAGTTCATCGTACGGCAATATTAATGAATGAATGAATATACTATAGTATCGATTGAGCCCAAGTGCGGAATAAAAATTACACTAGAAAAGCCTTTGGTCGTGTGATTGTGCAATCAAAACTAAGGATTTCTCTCGAGTAGGGCAAGAGGCGGAACTGGTCGAGACATGTGGGCCATGAGTGGTAGCTACTTTCTGTTTAAAGCTCTGGAAAATGGAAACTAATAAAAGAAATTCAATAAAGATGAGTCAGAGTGGTCATTTCTGTAGGACACTCCGAAGAGGTAGTGAAGA